ACATATAATGTTACTATTTTAAAGAAAATAAAGTAAAACTATTATAAATATAAAGCTGTATTATTTTAAAATTAAAAAAAATGTATGAATGTGATTTATAAACTTTCATATACATATATACATTTGTGATAATATATTATAAAGATTGAAAGACTACAACTTTTCTGATCTTATGAATTAAAAAGTGTTATAATGTTATATATTTATATATTATATTTATTTTATATGTATTTTTATTAGAATTTCAGGCTTGATTTTCAGAGATATTCTAAACGATGGTGTGGACCATCTGCGACAATTGTAGAAACAGAAAATTTTACTGTATGGGGTGTGATTTGGGAGTTAGATAACTGTAACCTAACTACATTAGATTGTCAAGAAGGTGTTCAAGATAATTTATATCATGCGATGTTTGTAAATGTCGAGACTCCTAATGGTACAATCCTAAAATGTAGAGTATATCAGCAATGTAGTAATCCAAAGGAATACATCAAGCCAATAGACTTTCCAATGAACAAGAGACCTTCGCCACTATATCTGTATGTATTCAATGATAATTTTTTGTGATATAAATATAAAAATAGTTATGTTTCCAAATTTTATCAAAACTTTCTTACATTGTATAGCAATATGATATTAAAAGGAGCAGAGGAGCATAATCTTCCCACTGATTACATAAAATTCTTAAAAACTATACCACACAATGGATATGAGGGAGAATATGATATTAGGTAAGCAACAAGTCAAGTTATGAATATGTTCAAAAATCTAAATTTTGTTTATATAATAAATAATTTTGTGTTAGTAAATCTTATAATATAGGATTCTTATCTAATATCTTATGTTTATTAACGAAAGTAGTGTGTAACATTTATTTATCTTTTATCTGTTACAATGGTATCTGTAATAATATCTTCTGTTTGTTTTTCCATGGTTATATACAACAATGCATCACAGCCTTTCTCTGATCGAAGATTGACTTCTATAACATTTTTGTTATGTGCATTCTTTTGATAATATGGATCAAGAATTACATATTCTAATGCTGTCTCTGCAGTCATTTTATCCAATATATGACGAGGAATCTTCAGTTTTAAATATTGTCTTTTGTTTACCTAAATATATGTATGTAGGTATAGATATAACAAATTAAAAATTAAAAATGAAAATAATTGAGCATAATGCTTTATGCATTAATAAATGCTCAATGCATTTAAATTGTACATACAAATTTTTATATGCACTAAAATATACTTACATAAACATTCATTATAAGTTTATAATCCATGTCAATCTCTGGCCATTTCTGTTCAAACACATTTTTGTCCAAACTTATTTCTTTATTATCCATAAGATGATGCTTCACAGAACAAAAAGTGGCCCATAATTCAGAGGCAAAATGTGGAGCAAATGGCGTGAGCATTATAATTTGAACAGCTAATGCTCGTTCGTATTCACGACTTTTCCTTAAACACTCCAAACCAACTTTTCGTAAACTATAATTATAGATTAAGATTAGTTCAATGTATAAAATAATATATTAATAATATTGCATATAGTTGTTGAATGTTGTCTGATTATTTACCTATTTGTAAGGCCTTGCATTCTAGATATTGCAACACTAAGCTGCTGTGATTCTATTATATTAAATGTCACATTTTTCAGAAAATAATTTCGACTGTCAAACATATATGCATCCTGTTCAGCATATTTAGGGTCAATAGATTGACTTTGAAGTTCCTCTAAAGACATATTGTTACGTTCAATTTTAAATTGTTTGACAATGTTCCAAAGACGATTTTGCCAATTTTTTACACCAACAACGGCTGCAAATAATATTAATATTATTTTCTAATAAAAGTACACCACTTAAATAGTTAATTTTTAAAAGATTTACTCTCTTCCGACCAATTCCTAGTGGATGTTGGTGCAACATCAGCCAATATCAGTAATCTAGTTGTGTCTATCCCATATTTATCCAATACATCAAAAGGATCAACTCCATTGTGTTTTGATTTTGACATCTTTTCCCAGTTCATGGAAAGGTGTTCTCCAGATTTCGTTTTATATTCTTTCCCCTCCTTCATCACTTCATTTCTTGCCACATATTTGCCAGTACTTTTAATTTTAAATGTTTTACCCATTATTACTCCTTGTACAAGAAGCTGTTTGAATGGTTCTTGAGATGGTACAAGGCCCTCTGAATGCAAGAAATGACTCATGAACCGAGCGTAGTATAAATGAAGTATAGCTGAAAAATACAACTATTAATAGATACTAATATAAAATATAAATGTCAAAACTTAGCTATTGATGAAATATTATTATTATACCATGTTCTTTTCCACCTATGTAAAGATCCACGGGATAAGTGTTTTTAACTTTCTCTACAGAAAACATTTCTTTTTGGTTTTTGGAATCTATAAATCTTAGGAAATACCAGCTGCTATCTACAAACGTGTCCATTGTATCAGTTTCTCTAGTTGCGTTTCCTCCACACTTTGGACATTGAGTCTGTAACCAATCCCTGGCATCATGAATCGAAAATCTTTTATCTGACGACTTTATCTTTGGTAATGTTACAGGAAGTTGATCAGACGGCACCGGCTGTACACCACAATTTGTACAATGAATAACAGGTATTGGTGTACCCCAATACCTTTGTCTAGAGATTAACCAATCTTGTAACCTTGAGCTCACTGGATATCCACCTATTCCCCATTTCCTTGCTTTTTGAAATATTTCAACTATCTTTTGCTGTTGCTCTTCGTTGCTACGTATTGAATGTCGGATAAATGGTATTTTAACTAATTCTGAAAACTTTAAGTCATCCATTGACGCTGAAGGTATACCCAAATGGACATCTCTCCATGGTGGATAAACAACCTTATCGGTAACAAAAATTGGCAATTCTTCGCCAGAAAATGGATTTATTACTTTTGCATCTAAACATTTTATTCCGACATCTATATCATACGTATAGTCTTTATGATGTAATATACTTTGAGAAGATATAGCAACAAATTTTGCATACTCTATAAATTCTGGCATGTCGGTCCATAAGTTTATTGTCTTCGGAAAATCTAAAATTTTGGATACCAATTTAAAATCGACATTAATGCCATTGCAATCACCTATCCAGTGCTTTTGTAATTTTATGATATCTCTCCATTCCTTTAAGATTGGATCATCTAGACCTTCCACCAGTGATCTACAACATAATCAAATAATTAACTAAAATTAATCAGTTTTCCAGAATATTATATTTTCTTACTTTGCAAAAGCTGTTGTTCTAATAAACCACTGCTTCAACAGTTTTCTTTCTACCAATGCACCAGATCTCCAAGATCGTTGATTCAAATCTACCTGTTCTTCAGCTAATACAGTCTGATCAATAGGATCCCAGTTAACATAAGCTTCCTTTTGATAAGCCAAACCTTTATCAAACAATTTTAGAAATAATTTTTGTGTCCACTTGTAATAATCTGAGTCACAAGTTGCAAATTCTCTTTCCCAATCAAAGGAATAATTCAGCATTTTCAATTGGTTACGCATTGTCGTTATATTTTTGTTTGTCCAGACAGCAGGATCAATTTTTCTCTCTATAGCAGCATTTTCTGCTGGTAATCCAAATGCATCCCAACCCATAGGATGAATTACATTTTTACCTAATAAGATTTATTTATTAAATTAATGATTCCAGTTTATGTTTCTAATCTAATTTTAAGAAATTGCTTTCTAAAGTGTTAAAAAATTTTTTAATACATAAGTCTTACATAATAAAGATTACAATGTAAAACCTACCTTTTAATCTATAAAATCGAGCTATAGTGTCGCTTATTGTATAAACTCTAACATGACCCATGTGTAATGTACCAGATGGATATGGAAACATGGAAAGAACATAAAAGTTATCTTTCACATTGTCATTAGTATTACATTTATAAAAATTGACTTTATTCTTCCAATGACTTTCTATTTGTTTCTTTACTGACAGTGTGCATTCTGGATTCTAAAAAGATCAAATTGAATAAATAATACAATAATTTTCAATGACATATGATATAACAATTCCAAATTTTATTGATACATTTATTTCTGCTAAGTAATTTTATGAGATTTATATTAAAAATATGCTTCCATTTTAAAATGGAAGTACGAGAAAGTTTTAAATATAGACAAAATAAAGGAGAAAAACTGTTAACATAATTATTATTCATTCTTTAATATTTCTTTGCTGTTTAGAGTTTAATATTGTTGTTTAATATATAGCTATCTATTCTATTCAATATTTAGTGATACTTATGTCCCATACAGAGAAGAATCCTCATATTTAATACTGAATTGTTGAGTACAAAATAAAAAATATAAACTATATTTACACATTTATTATCATAATATAAAAATTTTAAATGTGTACCGCTAATATGTCCACAGCAGCCGACAATTGCCGATGAAGAATATTATTGAAAAATCTTTGTGCCTTACATCGTGACATCACTTTAAGACAATATGATACATTTTGTGTCATTATAAAAATTGGTTATTTTCGTACAAGCAAAGTAAAATACACGAACAATATCGTTATTTGGTAGTATTACCAGAGAGAAGCCTGATGCCCTATCTACACCGAAGGATAATCCTACTTGTGGCTCATCCGAGCGAGTAATGTAGACGACCGAAAATCATACTGAAGTTGGTTTTCAATCGTACCAACTCGAAAAAGCAAATTACTCATCAGAATATTTGCATATAAAAAGCAAAGATATTTCTATAAAAAATAATCTTCTGTCGAACAGAATAACAATTCGGGTTACCTTAGATCGGATGAAAGTTTGTTTTATAGGCTAGGTACTGAAATTATTACCGGTTTTAAAGTTAACGGTACCAATATAACAACACTAAAATTGTACTTAGTGTAGACGAGCGAAAGTGGTCGGATGAGCCACAAGTAGGATTATCCTTCGGTGTAGATAGGGCATGAGAGACGCCACGGCCAGATTTTACGTGATCCGCGAAAGCGATACGCCACCTGTGGACCTAAAATTTGCACATTGGAACTACGTAGCCATGTGCACAATTTTTGGTTTGTTCCGTGCTATGTCCACGAAGGATCGATAATACAGAGTAATGTGCACATTGATGTATATTATACATGTATAATATACATCAATGTGCACATTACTCTGTATTATCGATCCTTCGTGGACATAGCACGGAACAAAACCAAAAATTGTGCACATGGCTACGTAGTTCCAATGTGCAAATTTTAGGTCCACAGGTGGCGTATCGCTTTCGCGGATCACATAAAACCTGGCCGTGGCGTCTCTCAGGCTTCTCTCTGGTATTACATTCCAGGTGTACATATGTATTATTACTCCATGGTTGTGTTCCAAAATTTATTGCTAGTGCTAATAATCTATAGTTCATGTCACGTATACTATAGATTTTTAGTACTGGCAGTGCATTTTAAGGCCATTATACATAAAAGTTTTAGTTGTAATCATAAGACGTAAGCAAATCGACCAATCATAGTGAGCAGTAATGCGAGTGACTCACTGTAATTGGTCAATTTTACGTGCAATGGCCTTTAGAACACAGCCCATGTAGGTTGTCATTTTTCTATACAACGCTAGATAGACTGTTGTTTATAGATTACAAATTATATTTGTCTTATCAGTTTGTTGCGTTCAATATATTGATATATTTTTATTACTTAATAATATTATTATTGTTTCGAAGAAATTCAATAAAAAGTATCTTTTGTATAGAGAGAAATTTCAGCTTTAAAAAGTCACTTCCGGCTATCCCGACTATCCAACATTCCTTTTCCGACTTGTATCACGTTGATAAGGGAGCAAGTGAAGTGTTACGGAACTAAAATCTACACAAAATATTCACATCGGTTAGTCTACGTAACATATAATAATAAAAACACATAACTTTTTTGTATTTCTGAATGCTTTTGTATTATATGTAATTTGTATAATGAATTAGTTGTGCTTATTTTGTGTTTATATTCCTGACGAAGTCAGGTTAGAATCTGGATCAAATCTTGTTAATTAAACTTTTGTTTCCTATCTCACGTTCTTGCGACTTTCGAATTTGAAAATTTAACAAGATTATCAAAATGTATAGTTTTTCAACATATATCGATTATTTATACAATATGTATTTTTGTAAAAGTTACACCACAGATACAGATACTAACCTCTTATATTTGTAATAAAACTGTACAATTATTAAATTATTAAATATTAATTATATTAAATTTAATTACATAAATATTTAATATAAAATTATGTATTATGCTATTAAAAATTAATTTTTTATGTTGTTACACATCAAGATATTAAATATCAATCATGGGTAAGGGAAATAACATGATTCCAAATGGCCATTTTCACAAGGATTGGCAGCGATATGTAAAAACTTGGTTTAACCAGCCAGCGAGAAAAATCCGTCGTAAACAAAAACGTGTTGAGAAGGCACGTGCACTTGCACCCAGGTATGTATGTATGCAGTGTGTGTGTGTGTATGTATATATATGCATATATGCTTATGTTACATTTATAAGCCATATAATCTTAGAACTTATTCTATTTTATGAATGTATATAAAAAAAAAAATTATATACATATATATACACTATTTTAATTAAATTTTTAATTAATTATTGGTTATAGGCCTATAAACCTTTTGAGACCAATTGTACATTGTCCAACATCTCGCTATCATACTAAAGTTCGTGCTGGTAAAGGTTTCACACTGGCGGAAATCAAAGCTAGCGGTCTGAACAGGAGATATGCTAAATCAGTTGGAATTGCAATTGATCATCGTCGTCGTAATAAGTCTATTGAGTCTCTGCAAATTAATGCTCAACGTTTGTCTGAATATAAGGCTAAATTGATCACCTTCCCGATACATCAAAAGAAAGTATGTAATTTTTTGTTGGTTACAGTTACTTAAAATTACTATTTTATTAACACTGAATTATAAAAAGTAAATAAGATTTTTTTTAAAGTATGTGTGTGGGGAAATAGTTTTTATATTATAAAACAATATATTGATATATTAATATATTAAGTTGCAAGAATATATATAAATTTGAATGTAAGATGGAAAAATACTTCAGAGTGATACTAAACAATTTATAAATATTATTTTAAACAGTTTTAACATATATTTATATTCTTTATTGTAATACTTAAAATACATGTTTGAGAATTGATTATTTTCTATAGGGGAGGGGGATTATATGATTGATTGTAACAATTTTTACATTAATATATTTTATTTGCCTATTTTAGAAGCCTCAGAAGGGTGATGCAACTGAAGAGGAGAGAAAGGTTGCTGTCCAAATTAAAGGAGATCCTATGCCTATTCGACATCAAGCATCTGCTAAAGCAAAGGCTCGACCTATTACTGAGGAGGAGAAGAAATTCTCAGCATACGTAACCCTTCGTAAAGCAAGAGCAGATGCGCGCTTAGTTGGCATTCGTGCAAAGCGTGTTAAGGATGCTTCAGAAAACCCTGATGAAGTGACAAAAGTTGCTAAAGATAAAAAAGCTAAGAAGTAATCCCGATGACATTTTTTCTTTATGTATATATAAAAATAAAATTTTCCTATAATGGAAAATAATTTTGTGTTATTTTTTTCTTCAAAATCTTACAATAATTTTTTTGTAATAATAGGATTAATAGATATTAGTAATATCACACTGAATATTTACAGTACATATATATTGAATTAATATATTGTATTAAATATCTGTTTTTATAATATGGTAACACAGCTTTTTAAAAGTACATTTTATATTCAAATATATTTTACTATTAAGAAATTTTTGCATTGTTGAAATAATTAATTATTACTATTTATAAAATTAATTCCCATTCAACATAGATTATTTTGTATCATATGCTTATTTTAATCAAAACTATTAATGATATACTTGTAATTTTTTATATTAAGAAAAAATTAGAAATGTTATTTTAACCAAAGCAAAAAATTTAATTCATAAAATTTTGAGAAAAAAATTAATAAATTTTTGAAAAAAAAAGCAAATTGCATATACAGTGCATTTGCATCGTGTCGGATATTGCCAATCGCTGCTGTCGTGCACATGCAATATTCGCTTAACGCAAACCGTCGCTTGCATGAATGTCGCCATAGTAGTGCATCTGTCAATGATCTGTCACTTTGATAATTGTATACTGCAAATCGGAGAAATATTTAAAGTTGTTAATGAATAGTGTATATTAGATTTGTTGTAGTGATAATGTCCCAGTGTTTTAATGATAATTAATCGGTCGTGTTGGGATAGATTTGGTTTCGTTCGAAGCCAAATTTTATGCGAACTTGAACGAAATACTAAGGTTATAGTAGTAGTGTATAAGTCGATAAGAGGAGCAGCAGATAAAGGCCAACTTATATTTCTCAACAAAAGTTAACTTTGCAATGCGAAAAATTAAGTTCGAAATTCTCTATTACTAATGGATGTGATGGAGCTGAAAGTGTGGGTGGAAGGAATACAACGTATCGTATGCGGTGTTACCGAGAATACAACATGTCAAGTAAAAGCAATGGAAATTTTATAAAATCACATTATAAAGTTCTGGTGTCTTTCATGGAAACATAAATTTGAAGAAAATAAGGATGTTTATATAAGATATTTCAAGAAAAAAATGCAGAAAATGTGGAAATTATTCCGTTTTCATAATTTTTTGTCAGGATTTTTAGGTTATGTCTCTTCCTTGTCACTTTACAAGCGTTTATTTACTAAAAATAATTAAAAACTGTTGTAGAAAAATGTGTTTTATTTTATTTTTTAAATAAATTATTTTGTATTTTTATTATTTTTTATGATGGGATTGTATTTTATAGTTTTACGTCCTTTATCATTACACTTGTCATCGTTTTGTGGTAATCTTGTCAGGCAGTGTATTTTTAAGATATTTAAATGTTTAAAAATTAATATTTGTAATGTTTATTCTATTATTAACGAGATACATGGTGCAAGCATCAGAAATAGAATAGAGACTAATAATTCATATTCGCAAAAATATAGATTTTTTAAGAATTATTATTATTTGTATTATTTATATTTATTTTGTGTTTTTTAGAAAAATGTAAATTTATTTTTATTTTTTTAAGATTATTATTTTTGCGTTTATTTTGTTTTTTTTTCTTTAGAAAAAAATAGGGTTTTATTTTTAATAATATCTTATATTGGGATTTTTAAATCCTAATATAAGAAAAAGTAAAGACAGAATAATTTATGCATTTTCTTTTTTTCTTTTTTTACTATACTACATATACTATACAATATACTATACAATATACTACATAAAATTTATTACTATATTACATAAAACACCTACTTTTTAAAAGCATTTGTTTTTTTTAATTTGTGTTTCTATGAACGTCACCATCTCCCACTTATGCTTGTATCTAAAAACTAATGACACTTTAATTATAGGATATAGTATATGCGCTTGCTCATGCTACAGCTCAAAGAGGTAGATTTACCTTGGTGGAGCGTTGGCGAACCAATGAACGTTTATTGGCTCCTTATGAAAATCCTTCTAAGGTCAGGCATATCTCACATTTTTGCAAGAAATATAAATTTATAATATATTTTATAGAATTAATTAAATACAAATCTAAGTAAATTAAAATTTTTATATTATAATATAATCATTTTATATTATATTATAAAAATAATAAAATTGATAACATATCATTTATTTGATTAGGTTTTAATGAAATGGGGTGAATATTCCTCAGAAGTTCAACTAATTTTGAGACGCTCAGAAAATAATAAAACGTGTGCATTACCATCTCGATTAACACATACATCACGTGTAAATGCATTACCAGTTTCAATTGAACATAGTACAGGCACCACTACTTTGCAAGATGACATAAAAAATATATCATATACGCAAAGTTCAGATTTTGATGATATGCCAGGTGGATTGGAAAGAAATAGAGATACCAGAAAATCACTTACCTTTAGTGGACTTCATGGAGGTATTACAGAAGGCAGTACAGAGGCAAGTCTATACTTTTAAACAAAAAGCAATAACTATATAAATCATACATAAATCATACCTAAATAAAAATGTTATTTTAGATTCAAATGGAAAATGTGGCTGTAGTTCAACCAACACTACATTTAAAAAATAAGGATTTAAATATACGAAAAAATGTACAAAAACCTGCTCAATCACCTACAAGAGGAGCTAATGCTGAAAGTAAGTTAATTTATTCTGCAATGATCTACTAGCTATATAAAATATACTAATATAATTATTTATGCCATTTAGACCAATATTTTTTAAATGAAAAGTGCAATAGTTTCGTAGTAATTTATGATTATTATTTTATTTTTTACATAGCAACACATTTGTCGCAAAAAAAGGTGCGCGAAGTCCCACCATATAGAGAGCCTCCAGGCCCAGCTTCACCACCATTACGAACTTTACCACCATATCGAGATCCACCTCCGCCGAATTTAAACAGTCCTGGAAGACCTCAATATGTATCTAGTAACAATACAGGAAGTCCTCATGTGCCCAAAGAGGATCAGCCATCTTCTAGTAATTCCATGAAATTGAAAAGAAATCTCATCCAGGTTTTGTACTATAATTATGCTAAATATAATTTATATAAGATTACATGCAGTATTCATAACATTTCTCTTATAGGAATTTCAAGATACAAAAATGCCCACACAGTCCGTTAATTCACTTCCTGCCATGGCACAAAATATGGCAACTGTTGCTTATACTCAACGATATGTTGAACTTATAAAACTAGTCAATAAGCAACGAGACACTATTAATGCTCAACAAGCTGATCTTACAAAAGTAAAATGTTATATTTTCTTCTGTAATGACAAAATATCTCTCTAATTTCTTTTAAGTAATAATTTGCTTATTTGTTTAATTGATTTAGTTTATTTGCAAGAATATGCAATATATTATAATAATTACTGATTTATTTTAGTTTGATGCAGAAATATTATATTGGGAAACAAAGAACAAGGAACAAATGCATCAAATGGATTATATTTCCCAAGAAATGAGTCGTATGGAATCTAATGGCCGTATTATCGAGGAACAGGTACAGTAATCCTTTTTTCCTTTCCAATTATCGTCAATTATAAATTATTGATTATTATTTTGTTTTAATTAGCTCAAAGAATTAGCTCATGTAGAAGAAGAAAGTGAAATAGTTAGGCAGCAAGAAAAAACATTGAAGTCGGAAATAACATTGCTTAGATCAAAGCTTGCCAATTGTGAAACGGAATTGCTTCAATGTAAAAATAAGATTAGGTAATAACAAATCTGATGAAACCGATATTATTATCTGTTATTATCAACGTATTCTAATATGATTAAAATAATTTAACTTTTTTTTATATGATATGATTTACGTTATGTTATATTAAAATATATAGAAACATATATAATAAAAATATATTATAATTATAGACTAGTTATGGAAGAACTTGCAATAGAGCAACATAATATAAGTCGTGAAACAGATGAACGGCAAATTATGGAACGGAAAATAATTAGTGAAGTGGAACACTTACAAAATGAGGTAGAACAAGCTAAACGCGCAACCGAATTAGCTTCACAACATGCGGAATCTCTAAAATTAGAAGTAGTTAACTTGGAGTCAGCTATTGTTGAAAAGAAGTTACAAGTAGAGAGATTGGTAGCTGACATGAAGGAGGCAAATTTGCAAAGTTTAGCTGTCGCATGTTCAGATGAACAAGTCAAATCTTTACTAGAAGGTATTTATTTACATGACATGTGCGCGCAAGCGCACGCACACTTAATTTTTCATATCTTTATATATTATTTTAACACGTTCCATGCCGCGTGTATTAAACGGCCTGAATGAAACGTTCAACGTATACCATCGGTGACCCACGTCAAACTTTTCATTCAGGCTATTTAATATTTTGAGTATAAACAAATACATTATCATAAAACATTTCATAATTTATTTCTTTTGTGCTACACTGTATTTTATAAAATGTCTCTTTATTTTGACAATAATATTATTTTTCAATCTTGGCCTGAATAGAAAGTTAAGCAAAAACGACTTGACACAGAATGTGTTAATAAATAGTTAAATATGTTTTTTATAATTATTTATTGCAATAAAGTTAATTAGTATTATTGTTAGTAGTATTGTTATATGTATTAATATATGTATTAATAAGTTTTTATCTTGTTTTTATCTTTATATGTGTTTCGTACTTTTTAAAAATTTATTTTTTATGCATAACTATATAAAATAAATATACTTATTTAATCTTTAGGTGCCCATAAACCTGGAAGTACTCGTAAAATGATAGGATCACCAAGGCAATTGGAAACTGCAGTGCCCACAAGTAAAAATCCACATGGTGTGTGGGTGTAAATAAAATAAAGCAGTATACCCCTGACAATGTGTGTGTGTTATTCTATGTGAGAAGTATATCAAAGAGTACATATCGAAATATTTCTATATGTTTATGTTATTTTAGTAAATAGTTAAAGTATTCTTTATATTCATTTATTGCAGTAAAGTTAATTAGTATCATTGTTACATGTATCATTCAGTTTTTATCTTGTATTGACTTAAATCATTGATTCATAAAATATTTGTGAAGTTGTTAATCTAATTTTTAAATTGTTGCATAAACCATTTATATATTTTTGGAAATATTTAGTATATTTTACATGCAATTTATTTTCGTAAATTATTTTTTTTTTAATTTTTGGATAATATTAATTTCTTAACAAATATAATTTTCTAAATGTTAAAGCGAGCAATTTTAGTTTTGTGTAAAAGTAATTAATTTAAGAATTATCAATATGACAATCGACAAAATGTTTACTAATATATTTTACAAATAGCTATCTCATACTCTAAAAAAATATTTTGCCATAATAGATTCAATTAAGGTTTTAAATTTACTTAAATATTAATATATGTTAATAATAATGCGTCAATGTATGTTTGTTAGTATAATTGTTATATGATATTTTTAATCTTTCTATATCTTGCGGAAGTATAAATTTTTTATGTATAAATTTCAACTATGTTTATAACATATTTAATATTTTTCTTAAAAACATATTTATTTTATGTGTAGTTACATCATTACAATTAGAATGTGCATCTTGTAGTTAAACAGCAATAGCATAAATATTTTAATATCTGACACATTGCATTTAACAATGTATTAATAATATAAATGTACAACAATCGTTAATATGATCTATCTTTGAATCAAAAATAATAATTATATTTTATGCATACATTTGTATATAATTTATATATTCTAGCAAGGATAAACACAATTTTAGATTTGATTATTGTAATTGAATTTTTTCTAATTTAATGTCCATAAAAAGTTATATTGATTTAATAAATATTATTTATTTAGGGCTATTAGGGCTATTTCAACATTTGTTAACTTTAAGGCACAATAGGAAAATATTAGGCCCTACGCATAATAGAGAAAATATTAGGAATAAGAATAAATATTAAATATTATTAGAGGTACAAATAAGTTTTAAAGCGTTTTTTGTAGAACATAAAAAAGTAATTCAAAATTTAAATATTCTCCCGCTCTTTTCCGATTTTATAGTGTTTATATGGTAACATAAAAAATAACAACCAACTTCACGATATTGTTTGTGTAACCTAAAATTGCAGCAGCTTGAAAATGGCAAACGAGAAATCAAGAGACACGGTAGTGTCTCGCGCCAAGTTCACGCGCAGCGCAAGACCGACCGTGTATCTTTACGCGAGCACATGAGCTGATAGGAGTCGAGATTTTCATATCTCAATAATGCGTGGACCGATCGAATTTATAATAGGCTCAATCGATAGAGCACATGCGATTTACATAATAAAAGTATCTTTACTTTTTTTGTACATGCTTTCTAAAAAAATATATTAATTGCCAAAGTTTGCCAAAGTCGAAATATGCCGAAATCTATGTAAGTCTTGGTCGTCGTCGTCGTCGTCGTCTGTTCGTCATCCTTCTCTAATATATAAGTTTTTCCTTTGTCAACTAGAAGCATCAAAATGCGACATGGTTGTCCTTTTCTACATCCCGTGAAATGTCGATTCCGCATAAGAGCGACTTTTTTCTTTCCTTTCTTTTCTAAAAATGTCTGTCCTTTTCCAACATGGCGGCGCTCAGACCTGTCAGCTCGCAGCTTTGATGATACTAATCACATTGATATAATTAATATCGGTCGTAAAATGTATATGTAACGTGTTGTGGAGACGAATAGAGATAGTGTATATCAAAATAATAGTATTCTTTATAAAAAAAATTTTTCTCGTCTTGAAGTGCAGAAGCGTAGCAACACACATGCTGACAACACTCTTAAAGGGAACGTTCACAAGTGTCCCCTCTCGATTTGATTCTCCTTGAAATATGTTGTAAAACATACAATTTGAGAAGACACGTATTTTTTTATAGCGGCCCTAACTCAAATTTAAAGGGTGAAACACCCTTTTGAAAAAGAGTTTTTTCTTTGTGTGTAACTATCGCCAAAACCGTAGGAGATATAAAAAAATGTTTCAAGTAGAAGTTGTATGGCTTGTAATGGGCTTTATAACTGTGTAGTTGGATTTTCAAAAAATGTAATTTTTTTAATTTACTCTTACCCCTTGGTATTATTTTTTCGAATTTCAAAATTTTTGTTGACAAAAGTTGTAGCATTTTTTACGCTGAATTCAACCATATATGATTTTATTATGTTCCGAAATCGCATCTTTCAAAAATAAGTCATCAGTATCATATTATATGCGTCGCGCTGCATGACGCATTGTTTATATCGCACTTGTGTTGCGCAATAGTCGTTAAATAAATATAAAAATGACATGTTATCACATATTTAAGGAAGAAAAGTTAACTAAAATTGTTGCTAAAGCATCCCTTCCACATTACACTTTTATAGATAATCGCTGCATTTCGTATGCAGCGCGTTGTCATATACAAGTTAGCTATCAGCGCATATTACACTTTGAAGTTTTGCTTGCAGTGACCACGGGAAAATAATTTATGAAACGAAAACAGTGAATGAATCAATCTATTCAACATATATCCACCCTGACTCTACTCTCTTGGCCCGACTTGACTGACAATGAATAAA